CAATTTAGTGACAGCGTCTCTTTATATAATAGATATCTCCCTCTCTATTGTCTCTCTCTCTCTCTCTCTCTCTCTCTCTCTCTCTCTCTCTCTCTCTCTCTCTGGCTCTCTCTCTCTCTCTCTCTTTCTCGCTCAAATAAAGCACATAATTAGAAGACATTTTGTAAAACGTTAAGCAAAAAGAAAAGGTTACTGCTCGTTTATGTAAACATTCCATATCGACGTCCTTTTTTAGTAAAATAATTATATAAAATAGAAATGATGGAACGTTATTGTACTTTGAATTTTTCATTGTATTTTCCATCCATATAGTTTCGTTTTTCTGTTATCAGAATGACTTTTTAGAGTTCAGATCTTTATCACTTATCTCGAATAATGTAGCATTTTTCTTTCTCATAACAGTTAAAGTTTTCTTATAAAGCCTTCTGTGATCTGATTTCTTTTTTTCTCCTTTATAATCGTTGATATGATTATGTATTAATTCTTTTACACTTGTTCTCTTTTACGTTTTGTGTTCAACACATTCTTGTGTAAATTGGTCAAATTTAGATGATAAATTTATTATTTGTTTTTTTTTATTTAAAAAAACATTATTGTGGTATTTTAGTTTATTATTTTATCGAACTTTTTACTTAAAAATCTTCGTGATGGAGAAAATATATACTTAGATTAATACATACTAAGGATCTCTTTGAAGATACATCTATTTTTGAAAAAGATGAATAAAGACAGTTATAAACATGTTCTATGCCCTATTAAAAAAAAAAATCATTCGAGTTGCAACGATAATGCCATTTTTATTCTCATAAAATATTGACTCTATTGATTTTAGTATTGTGGTAATTTTTTGCAAGATATTTTTATTGACTTATGAAAAAGTGTCAAGAAATAATCAATGCCTCCAATTAGTGCTCGCAAAAAACCATTTAGTACAAAGAAAAAAAAGGAACAATTGAAACAAAAACGTGAAAAAAATCGAGCTCTTGGTAGGTTAGTTGTTTAGACAATAGAGTAAATTTATTACTTATACAAGATGTTTTTGTTTTTTTTTGTTCTTCTTCTTCAGGTGATAAATGGGCTGATTCTGATTCGGCAACGGAAGAAAATTCTAAAAATTTGAGAAATCGTATTAATGAACAACCTGTTAAAGACGATGGAAAATATAATCCAAATCGGTATTTAGTAGTGTATCTATTATAAATCTTAAAATTATTAATATTTTACTTTATTTTTAGTTATCGTTTACATTTTCAACGTGAATCAAAAGATGAGATTGAACGTCGTAAAAAATTAGCTCAAAATCCTGTTCAATTATTACCAGAAGAAGCTTTAGAAATTTCAGTTGAAGAAATTTATCGTCCTGGTAGTGCACTTGATTGTCCTGTTCGTCCACCATGGACATATGATATGAAAAAAGAACAATTGGAACAACAAGAACACACATATTTTAATGTATTTTATATTTATTTATTTTTCTTTTATCTTTTTAATCTATAATGATTATTTTCTTTTAGAATTATTTGGATAAAATATTTTCAAATTTTGATGCTGATAAATTGAGTTATTTTGAAATGAATTTAGAAACATGGAGACAATTATGGCGAACAATTGAAATATCTGACATAATTTTAATGATTGTCGATGTTCGATTTGCTGTAAGTTTATTATAGTTTTTTTAACTATATAAATATAAATAAATTCAATTATATTTTTCATAGGTATTACATTTTTCTCCAGCATTATACGATTATGTAACGAAAGTTCATCAAAAACATTTGATCATGATTTTAAATAAAATTGATTTGGCACCACCAGCATTAGTTGTAGCATGGAAAAGTTATTTTCAAATAAAATTTCCACAATTACATATATTAACGTATACATCGTATCCGAAAGAATTGAAAGATAATTTTGATGATTATCAAGTATTATCAAAAATAATTAGACGAAAAAATTATTATGCTATTGGACCACTGACACTTTTGGATTGTGTCAAGAAAATTGTAGGAACAACAGGTAATAGATTAAGAATGTCAGTAAAAATATGATCACTTTTCACGCTTTTTTTCTGTTGAAATGAAAGATAAATCTGATTTTTTTATGTTCAAAGAATACTGTCTATCACACCACATTCATATTAGCCTATGAAACCATCCAAAACTACATCATATTCTTTTACAGACGTCTAGATAAATGGAACTGAATCAGCAGATTAAGAAGCGATAGATGAGAGTTTTTTGAAATCTTTTACGAAAAATAAAAGAGTATAAATTTTATAAAACCGACTTCTAAATTCAGTTTGAACTAACGTGTTTTGGTATAGACAACACATATAAATGAGTTCGAAAGGCTCCTGATTAGTATGATGATGACTTCTCAGTTTTACAGTTTTTATGATTGTAGATCAAGTCACTGCTGCAAAAAATCTGTTTCAGATACAAAGGAAGTTATTTGATAAGTTAAGTTAATTGATTTCTATTTATAAACTATAACAAAAAATGATCAAAACCTTTCGAACTCATTTATATGTGTTTTCTATGTCAAAACACGTTAGTTCAAACTAATTTTAGAAGTAAGTTTTATAAAATTTACACTTTTATTTTTCGTAAAGGATTTCAAAAAATTCTCATCTATGACTTCTTAATCTGCTAGTTCAGTTCCATTTATCTCGTAAAGGAATTTAGTATGTTTCTGAACGATTTTTTTAATTTTCAAATACCCATTCATATTTGCCATTTCATTTTAGTGTATCGTTCTGTATAATTCTACTATTTTTGTTTAGTTGATTTATCATCGTGGGAAAAACATATGCACGAGTGTATGGCTAGTGATGAAGATGAATTAAAGAAGAAAGAGTATAAACAAGAACAAATTGATGTATCACCGTTGAATACCAATGCATCTACATCTACTGTTGGAACAACAACGGCAAAATCTCATGTAACACTTGGCTTTTGTGGCTATCCAAATGTTGGAAAAAGTTCCTTGTTAAATAGTATTGTTGGTCATAAAGTCGTTAGTGTTTCACGTACACCTGGACATACAAAACATTTTCAAACAATATTTTTAACATCAACTGTTCGACTATGTGATTGTCCGGGACTTGTATTTCCATCATATGTTGAAAAGCCACTACAGGTAATGTTTTTGTCGTTAGTTTTGAAAAAAACGAAGAGAATGCTATGCTACGACATTTTCTCATCTCTCGTAGCTCTAAATTGATGTATTCATCATCGAAGACAAAGAGTGTTGAAAGAAAATATCATTGAGTTAACTCTATCAACATATTTTATGAAATTGTTATAGATTCTTGCTGGTATTTATCCAATTGCTCAAGTTCAAGAGCCGTATACAGTTGTGGGTTATTTAGCACAATGGCTGCCGATATTAAAAATATTAAAAATTGAACAGCTTCAAAAAGAAAATTCAAAATATAGCCCATTGGATATATGTGAAGGTAGGATATACACTTGGTAACTCCGATTGAATAATGCGCATAGACATCTGACTTTGATTTAGCATGGGCAATAAAACGAGGCTTTTTCACAGCCAAAGCAAGTCGTCCCGATGTCTATCGTTCAGCAAATCATATACTTCGTTTAGCGTTAGACGGTCGAATTAATTTATATCTACGTCCAATTGGTTTTACAGCTGAAAAAGGTAAACAATTTTATCTTATTTATGTTATGTTTCTATTTTTCATTTTCTATTGTTTATAGAACGCTGGCAGTGTGATCCTCGTTCATTAGAATTAGAAACATCAATTAAATCAGCAGTGGCTAAGCAAAAAGCTCCCGATAGTGTCTCAGATTCAGAAACCGATTATGATATTTATTTTAATAAACTGTCAACAAATAATAGACGTCTTAGTGATCAAGAACTAGCATCCCAAAGTTCAGTAAGTGACTATGTTAGTGAAACAAATCGTTTTGGTCATTTGCAAAATTCAGCCAATAATAAGACGTCACGCTTATATTCATCAACACAACGAAGTCTATTAAGAAAGGCGGTAGGAAAAAAATCCCAAACAGCAGATAACGAAGAGGATGAGGTAAAGAATATTTCAGTATCTGTAAAAAAATCACAACGTTTGTTGAATTTTTATTATAGGAAGGAGCAAACGCTGATCAAGAAGATCAAAGCGATAATGAACAGGAAAATGCAACATCCACGGATGGTGAGGAAGAACAACAACCATCGAAAGTGTAAAATATATATATATATATATATATACGATGATAAGTCCCGGTGATATTATTTTATGTAACTCAACACATAAATCTCGAACAGTTTTTCACTTTGAGTACTATCATCTTCTTGTTCATTAAAAACATCTTCCCATCCTATCCTACGTTTTCTTTTAAGTGTTCGTTTTCGTACATTGCGCACCTATATCATAAATTGGTTTTAACTGATTTTTCACTTCGAGATATTCGCTTTTTCTTGAAACTTTATCTAATTGGCTTTCGTTTACGTAACATCCATTTGGATTGTTCACTTTGCTAATAGGTATGTGATATAAAGTTGATTCGCAATACTTTTCTATGTTCTTTTTTTTTTTGTAAATTGAATCATTCATTATTTCATTTTGAATCAAACATAGGTTTATGCGCATGTACAATCCTCTTTACTGTACATAGATATATGTTTTTTTCTCTATCTTTTTTTATTTACAAAATAATAAAATGTCTTGTCAGACAACATATCGACACATCTATTATGGACGATTTTTATCAATAGTTGTGTTGTCAACAGTTTATTTATTGAAAGATACTCAGATTCTTTCTTATTTGATGTTAGCATGTTACTTCATTTTCTGATGTTCTGATATCTATAGATTATTATATAACGTCCAATATTCGATTACGTACTTTATTGAATGAAGAATGTTTTTTTTTTCAACGATCAACATCCATTATTGTCATTCACAGCATTAAAATAATAAATAAATAAATTAAAGTAAATGATTGAATCTTATTATCTCCATTCAATAAATGACATTTAAGAAAGTATAAAAACAATATAATAAATATAATTCAAAAATATGAACGTTTAACTCATTTAATTCAATCAATGTACACTACATTATTACAGTTAATTGGAAGACAAGATGAGAGCAATTTTAAAAACAATTGTTGAAATTCGATGGATTAAATGCACTGGTCAAGGAATATCTTAGTCTCTGCAAAATTTAATGAATATTTAAAATGAATGAGTGGAACGTTAAAACCATGTCTTGGCAAAATATCATACAACTGGTTTCAAAATGTGAGAATAAAAGTGAAAATTATCGTATGTAATAAGTTAGAGTTATTTACCGTTATCAACTAATTCATTAATACTACTATTGTCATAAGTGATGCCATTGAAAAAGAAAATTCACAACTTTTATTTTTATTTGATACCATCGAATTAGATAGGTAAAATTATTAGTACGAATGGTGCTTCAAAATCTTTTTCTTTTTTTTTAGATCTAGGGGTGATATTGAATTAGATAATTCTTTAAATAAACGATGCATCGAAAGTATCTAAGAAGAATTTTCAAAATTACACATACTATTCATCATGGTTCAATTCCATGTATGATTTTCTTTTTTTTCTCTTTAATTTAATCATCAATGTTCTTTAGGTTTCAAGATTGGTTAACCGATAAGATATATTTCATTGCAACCATTCACTTCAGAGAAATGATTGAATTCTTAAAATGATTGACATAATTCGATTTGAAGATCTTATTTTTTTTATAATAGATAAAATTTAAGATAGTTTAATTTTATTTACAATCATTGTTTATTTTTTATGTAGTTATATAGTTTTTGTTTTAAATTTTCTAATAAATAAAAAGGAAAACGATTGTTGTACGTTTTCCACTCTAATCAACGGATATCAACTGTTTTGATCATGTCCTTCGCATGTGTTTGAAGACGATATTTGTTATATTCCTCTACGTTTATCTAGTTAGAATTTATCTAACAATGGGATTTCTGACCCTTAATTTTGTATAACTCTCTCTCAATCCTATCTCCATTGGACAATAGTCTATAACTTTGTTCATGGTAACTATTTATTTTTTTTCACGTTTGTCTGTATTCATTTAAATGATCTAAACGTAGTACACCCCGTGTCAGTTGTGAATTCTGTAAGGATAATTCTTTTTCTAGTCCACACATACACATATAATCGTGAGCATAATGTAGTTATACAAAATTTTTCAATCTAATTGATATTGTCTGTCGAAGTTATTTTCTGTCATAAATTATTATTTTTCATTACAACATCGATAATCACAATCGAGAAATTTTCTATTAATTGACGAACGTTTGGTATGATACATATTTTCACCAACTCTTGTCGAAGTTTATTGATACTAGTTGACATTATCTTGATTAAATTCAGAAAAAAATGACATTAATAAAGAATAATTTATTCGAATAAGTTATTCGAACTATTTTAATCATATTAAAATTTTCACAAATTTGAAAAAAAAGATAATACATTAACTGAACAGCATTCAAAAGTTAAATATTCCATTCATTATTGACTGTCACGCTTTAAAGATGTAGATAGTAAAGTTGATGTTTATTGAGACATTTTGGGAATAGTATTCCCAGATAAGATAATGCTTAACTGACTTGAAACTGTGTTAGACGGGACAGGATTCAATAGGACTATATTATACTTCTACTGACTAACTATTTAACTATTTTTTCGTGTCTTTCCATTTTTGGTAAATAAAGTTCAAGTTCAAAAGACTACTGATAGGAGGAAATTTCTATAGTTTTTTGTCTAAGTGACCTATATTCTTTTGTAGATCAAATAAAATTGTTTTCGGCAATGGATCAAGACGAAATATTGCGACAATTAGAATTCATTCAAAATAATCCAGTTGATCTTGAAACATTAATGATGAATAATGGCCAGATGGGTTCCATGTCATCTGTATCTCCAACAGCAATGGAATTATTAGAAAAAAATCAACAGTTACTAATGCGTAATGATGATGGTAATGAAAACGAAAACACCAGTGATGATGATGATACGGAAGAATTTGTTGATGAAACGTTTATTGAACGCATTTCGGCACTCAAAGAAATGTTTCCTGAACGTGTACAACAAATTGTAGGAAAATTAAATTCTATTACACGTGAAACATCAAAATTTGCTTATACGAATGCACGATCAGTTTCGTGGTGGTATGTATTGCGAGACATATTATAATAACATTAATTGTGTGTAATCTGAACGTGTTTTTGCTTATCTGTTGATATTCTATTTAGGTGTGTATCATCGTTTAGTGTATTAGTATTTCCCATATTGGTTCAAAGAGAATTATTACATGTTGCTCAACAAATAGCTCAAGAGCAACGATCTCTCTTACTGGGTCCACAAGCAACTATCGGTGGCGCTAGCGCATTTATGCCGGGTATGTCATCCTGAGCATATTTTTATTGCTTTTTTCTTATTTTCATATTTGTCTATTTAAATAAAGAAAGAAAAACAAAAAATAAAGAAATTACAACAGTTATTTCACAACTAGACTAGTGTTTCGGGATTCGGTTGAACAGACTCAATGGCTGATATATTGTTCTCGTTATTATTATTATTCTCATTACAAGTCCTACAATTAAATGATGCGTCATGATATGTGGCCGGTACACATGTACATTGAGGATGACAAAGTCGTTGACGACGCATTGTTGATGCTAGTCGATGATACGGAGGCAAAGTGCCGTTATTATCTTGAATAGTTTCATAAATATGTGAATCTGGATAATGAATTTCAGGTGGACTTGGACTAAAATTACATTGAATAGGCAGTCGAGGCCAATGAATCATTCGATTGTAACCATCTGAAAGTGGTGCCATTGGTAAGATAGGACGAAATGTTTTTTGTTGAAGATATGCCAAATTATTGATTGGATTCACTGTTTTCTAAAATAGAAACAAGTCAGATTAGTGTATAATAACGATAGCGACTATAAAAACTTCAAGAGATGAGTAATTTATATTCCAACCATGTTTACATACTTTTAATGGCACTATTTGTGGATATTGATGATATGAGCTTGAATTTACTTGTTGTGCATCGTTATTCCAACTCGATAAGGTTGTATTGTTAGGATTTAATGTCATTAACTCGCTAGGGTCTTCATAGCTACTTGTTTTTGTTGTTGACGTTGATGGTGTATTATGGTGTGGTAATTGTGGATGTTGAACAGTTGGACTTGAGTCGAATATATATCTTGATGATGTTGTTGTTTTTGATTCTAATGAATTCATAACGGGTGTATCTCGATTGTAGGATGATGTAAAAAATTGTAATGATTGTTTTTTTGAATGACTACGTTGTTTCCAACAGAGTAGAATTAAAAATAAATTTAATAGTAGTAGACTAGCAACAAATATCGCAGTTATGATCAAAATAAATGAGAGAGTACTACGATGTGTGCGATTAGGTACATGGATGCCAAATGAGGAGGACGTCATTGCTTCATTAATGAGAATTTCAGATGGTTGACTAAAATTAATTGCACTGACCAATGTCGTATTTGGTATTGTAGTTGTTGTACTAACAGTAGTACTTGTAGTAGCAGTGGTCGTGATTATCGATAATGGTTGTAGTTTGCTGTTTAAATTATGTTGTTGACAGGTTACTTTCAGTGATGTTTGTTGTTCAGATTTAGCTGGTTGAATAACTAACCAAAAGCCTTTACGAGTTATCAAATCATTCGTCCGAAATGTTAAATGAATATTCGATGGATAATATGCCGATAAGAATGTTGAGGAATTTAGTAATCGAGTGCTTTCGCTAGAAAAATAAAATGTAAAAGGTAAAAGTACCAGAATAAGTTTGATATATGTATAACGTGAAATATGAGTATGTCTAGTGTCAATTTCCTTAATCTTGTTGTTATACAGTGCTCCGCAACAAAAGTAGCAACACCTGTAGCTCTTACCGAATGGTGATCACACATCAAGTGTGAGCCTCATTTAGTGGATGGTTCGTAAGATATGAGCGATTTCTTTCGCTTTTTTTTTTGTTGAAAATTCGAGGTCCTTTGCGAAAAAATTTCACAACTCAGTTTAGAAGCATCATTTTGACTTCATATTCGTACCAAAGACTCTACGGTGTCTGTAGATTATCTAGTCAACGTATGAAGGTTAACTATTGTGTAGTTCGGA